TCCAATCTGCTGCTACTGTCGGCACTGGTCTCGCTCTGAAGGTTTAATTTGGGTCATGAAGCGCGCAGCTAGCATAGAGCAGCCTTTCTACGACAGTCCAGCAAGGTGGAATATCGATATAGTGAGAGAGAGAGAGAGAGAGAGAGATCCAATGAGAGTTTCCGTATAGTCACAGAATGCATTGCCTTTCGTAAGTAGGAGTATGACAGAGAGAGGGTATCGCATGATAATTGCAGAAAAATGGAAAAAAGAAATATGAAAAGTAAAAATGAATAGAGATGAAACGAAACGGGTTCGCCAAGTAAGTACCGTGACTTGGAAGGATCAAAAGAGAAGAGAAGAGAAGGGAAGAGAGACGCTAGAGAGTCGCGGCACACAGCAAATAGCGTGAACTGACTGACTGACTGACTATATTAGGAAGCCAAAAAGAAATAAAAGAAACAAAAAGGGTCTAATTTGCATCCATCGCGTGTATATGTATTGAAAAGTGTGGTTTGCCAACGCAGCAAAGCATTGATAATGTGTCCACCCAGGCCGGGGAAAGGATGAATGAGGATGCTGTCCGTGTGGTGTGGTGTGGTTCTGTGGTTCTGTGGCTGCTGTTGTGCAGTGGCTCGTCTGGCTCGTCTGGCTCGTCTAGCGCCTAATTTAGTGAAGCTGTGTTACTTATCTTAGACACCTACGGTAGGCTACTTAAGTAGGTAGTGTTACTTAGTAGCCGAGTAAGTACCTAAAGTAAGTAACCCAGTACCGTGGCCTTAGGTACTTTACCTACCTACAGCGGGCAGTAGGTAGCCACTGGTATTAACTAATGCTGCTATCGCAGTGCATTAGTTAGGTACTTAGCTAGTGGCCCTCGACGGCGCTCACGCAACGTGCAGTGGTGCGCTGTGACTAAGTATCGCTAGCGGCATCGTTTAGCCGCAACCGTTGAAATATGCCATCGAAATCTGTCCTACTTCAGTAAGTACTTAACTAGGTATTCACTTACTTACACTAGGTAGGTTAGCAGATGGCCTTCTTGGCGGGACATGGAAGAGGAAAAAAGGCCGCCGTTCCAACTAAACGTCGGAGCCTAGGCGACTAACTTACATGAGGTACATGCTAGGTATGTAGGTGTGTATATAGGTATATATAGGTAGGTATGTATGTAGCAATGTACTCGAGCTTGCCCACAGACAGCATGGCTGGCACCGAGCCACTCATGCCTGATAATATCATCATCGTACGATTCCAGCACCTAGCCTGAGATCGAGGAGGCGTCGTTGTGACATGCCCCCCCACTGCGCGTCGAATACGCTGCGTCAAAGTCAAAAGTCAGGTCAGCGCGTCGTCCGTCACGTCAGCTGGGGCGTTGGTTGGAAAAAAAAAAAAGAAGTGAAGTGAAGTAAAGTGAAACCGGCGAGATTGGCATGTCCTCTTAGTGGATGCACTGGATTGGACACTCTCTGTACATACCTTACTATTAAGTATTTATATGTATATACCGGTATACTTACACGATGTAAGTAGTAACAGTACCGGTAGCGTGGATGGTGATGAGATGAGATGAGGTGAGGTGAGGTCGGTCCCGCCAGTGGCGTCCGGAGGTGTTGCGAGACAGAACAACGCCATTCTGACGGTGCACGGGGGCACAAGACAAGACGGACATGGTAAGCCACCATAAGTAGACAACTGCATTGGTTTCTGACATACCTGGTGTTTTGTGTGTAATGTGGTGAAATGTGACGGTAGGTAGGTAGGTAGTGCAAGACCCTGCCTAGAGAGACTGCAAAATGAGAGTTGGAGATACCGTAGGTAAGTGTCGTCGAGGCGCCGTGAGGGGTACAGCACTTGTTTCCCCTGCCTGCCTGTGTAACTTGGGTAGGTTTAGTTATCATATCATGTATCTACACCTTACCTACTACCGGTATTACCTCCGAAGTTGATTTCTACATATGTCTTGAATGAAAGGGCACACAGATAGACAGATAGATGGTGAGGGCCAGATAAAATCTAATTTTTTGGAAATCAATATATTCACTAACTAGGCCAAATAAAGCCTCGTCAACGTAAGTACCTACCTACATATACATGAACGACAGACAAACACAATTATACAGAGAACTGAAATCCGCTGAAGCTGAAGTACCTAAGCTGGAAAGAGACAATCTCATACCTACCGCACACCGCCATCCATCCCGGCCGATGACTATACAAATGAGTACATACAAGTAGGTAGGTAGGTGCCCGATGTGCTGTTCTGGCTCCGACGCTGACATTGCGCTCGAGTAACGGTGAGAATGGAACGGCCCAACTGAAACGATCGATCAGGTCACGGTTGCTTGCTTGCCTGCCTTGCTGGTACCATCCATACATGTAGCTCTCAGATAGATAGATAGATAGATAGATAGATAGATAGGTAGGTAGGTAGGTAGGTCGTCGGTGCCAATACCCCAATACCTATTCGAGGCGTCTTTTCATTGCAACGACGTGAAACTACTTCACGTTGCGTCGAGCAATTTAGTCGAAATGTTGTGGCGGGTGCGGTATGTCTGTGCCATGACCGTAATCGATCCAAAAAAAAAAAAAACCCCTGCGATCAGATACCTAGAACTCCCCGCGCACGCACGTCCGTCGTGGTCACCGCTGTTAAGAGGACGGGAAAGGGGGAGGCGTGATATAGCAAGGTAGGTAGGTAGCTAAGCTCACTCCTTCTCGAAGGACACGATGCAGTTAACGAATTCCCCTATGAAGCTATTCCAGTCATCCATCACCCACCTGCCTGCCTCGACATTGATTGATTGATTGATTGAGGCAGGTGAAATGTAAAAGGGAGTGCATACTAGTGAGTACAGACAAGAGGTTCCATTGCCCGGGCAGGCTACTGGCTGATTGGTGCGCCACCATGGAAACCACAGAATGCCGCGCTTACACAGATATACCCGCCTGTAATGCACACACGACACAGTTGTATTCGGGAACGAAGGGGTAAGTAAGGGTGTCATCCATCGTCGAAAGCGGGCAAGAGGTCCGACGGGCTGGCGATGTTCTCATAGGACGATCGAAATTAGATGAGATGAGATCTCTGTAGCCAATATGAGAAGGAGGGGGGGGGAGAAGATTTAATGCGATGATGGGAAGAGGATTCTCTCTCTGGCCCAAAGGCCCGTTTCAATGTTTCATGTTTGCGGGGAATAAAATCAGCGCTTGGGTCGCTCCCAGCCAATGGATTGGCCGGATGAACATCTCCGGCCCGGTCCAGACGCAGAACTGCTGTTCGGAGGCATGAGAGGCCGAGAGGCATGGGATGGACGAGTCGCGCGCATTTCTGCTTACTTACTATGTACACTACTCGCGCGACAAATGCGGTAGGCATATGCTGTACCTAGGTAAGTAAAGGTAGGTACCTTGGGCAGAAGACCCCGGGGTTAGATGCCATGGTTGTTAACTGCGATCTGCTAGTGGTGGTTGCAAGTAGGTAGTCGGCAGCAAAGCCGAGAGAAGAGTTCTCTCAATTGCTTGCTTGCTTACTATCTAACCAAAGCCACTACACGACTACACCACGCATCTCAGGTCTGTATGTAGGCATGACTGTATATCCGCAGGTGGTTAGTCTTGCTTGCAAGCATGGTGGTCGGATGCGCCCGATTCGACGCGGCATGTTTTGATCGATCGATCGACGAGCGACGAGAGCGCCGAGGAACCGAATGGAAGCGAGCACCACTCCAAAAAGTATGGGTTACCTGCTGGTCGGTACTCCTCAGATCTTTCCATCACGCGTGATTGGGCCGAGTGCCCCAGGCTGGGCTGGCGGGGCAAGCCGAAATGCCTCTCCGACCCTTGTTGATCATCCAGGGCGACGGCTGCACAGCTAGCTTCAGCAGAGTCTAGGCGCGTCCCCCCCTCCCCTCCCCTGCGCGCGCAACGTCTGGCGGAGCAGGGGTTGATAGATAGTTCGTCTAATCGCTCTTGTCGCCCGCCCGGCAGAATGGGACAGAATGGGACAGAGCGCCCACGAGTCGGCCAATTCGACAGCGAAATTGGATAGCCTGACTTGTCCCAAACCGACCCCCGGTCCTCCACATCTCCATGGCACTAGCTCGGTTTAATGAGAAACACGTTTGAAGGGGTTGGCTGCTCGAAGATCTCGGTTGGCCATGGTGAACCATCATGACAACGATAACGCCTTACGAAGTAGCATAGAGTGCGCATGAACAAATCCCCGACTCGAGGATTTATGCTTTAGATCAAATCAGTTTCATAACCTTCACTCTCATAGGATCACTGTGCCGGAAATTAGATCAGCACCCCCTCCTGTGCCGGACATTGGCAACAATAGCGTGATGCGGGTACACAGCACCGCGAAACTTTATAGAGCTATTAATCACATGAACTTTGAACACCACACATTCAGGCAGATATCGCGAGCTGTAGAGAAAACTTGACATTGCGTAGCTTTACACTAAGGATATCGCAGCCCAGATTCCCGTCGCAAAGCAAGTAATTTCGATGATAATAATACTTTGAATAGGCGATAAGTCAATGCTCAGCACTGCGAATCGAGTCGACATAGGGACCGACCAGCGCTTTGGGTGACAAAAATCGCCTACGGGCATGTATTGATAGGCAAGTTTATATATAGGTATATATGTGTACATACATATGTGTGTGCATGTATGAGGGAGGAGTACTTTGTGACACCTCGATGCACGCCGGGCGAGGGTGCGAGCGCGAGGTAGAGTCAGTATCCGAGTACGTAGTCATCTGCTTCCCATCTATCCATCATTTCGATGTATCAGGCCAGAGGCAATATTGAATAAATAAGCAAGTGGTCCCCAAAGGGCGTGGTATCTTTGAATGTACCGGGGCAAACGCCGTGAAACTCAAGGAAAGCCTGCCGTGTCCAGTCATGTGTTTATTAACCGTGTGAATCGAGAACCAGATCTTTTCGCCTTCTATAATCGCCAGAACGCAATTTCGCCAAACATAACATTCTTTAATAGGGGGAAGTTTAGAGATTAGAAATGGAATCGTAGCTCGTAGCCGGTCGTCGTGCGGTATGCGCTGTGTGCGGAATTCCGGTCCGGTTCCGGGATGTCAATTGACATTATATCCCACCCTGCCTTAGTCTGAGGCACGTTCAAATCTACCTCGACAACATCAAGAACCATGGCCTGCCCTTCTGATAGCTCTCGGATAACATCATCGTCCATCTCGACTTCTAGACTCCCTTCATAGAGATGGATAACGCGCGTGATGCGGGTGGGGTCGAGGCTCCATTTCGTAGTGACGCGGGAGATAAAATCAGATAGAGTTCGCTCTGTCAAATATACTGCCTTGTGTAATTCGCGCTTATCCGAATTCGCGGTCGGCTTCTTTGCTATGTAGAAACAGGCGATTGATTTTGCTGTTTTCTCGTTTGGCGGTTTATACGAAGGGTCCACACCTAGTGCTTCAATCCAGCAACTTAGGTTTCCATCATCATCGGTTTTCGTGGGAACCCTGGTAGCCTGATCCGACATCCGGTGAGAGCTACCAGCCCCTTGCCTCTCTGCCCACTGCCCTGTGCCCGTAGCTTGCGAATGTAACGAAGTAGAACTAGGTGAAGGCGAAACTAGCGAAGATCCGGTTATCGAATTTCTCGCACTGCGATTCCGCCAAGCTATGCCCTCTTTTGAATCCTCCCTCGACAAATCAGGCAGTTCTCCAGAGAGAGCAACTGGATGACGATCCGGATCGTCCAAATCCTCGCCTCTAAGATAGAGTATACTAACAGCACGACTGCTACCGAACATGTCTTGCAAGGTCGTGAGCTTGATGTGCATATCAGCCTCCTGGGATGAACGTGCATTCCCGCCGCTGCCGCCATCCGCAGAGCTTGCCGAAGACATGGACCAGGTTCGTTTATGCTTCGGTGCCTTTCCAGGCCGTTGATGATCCTGTGATTTACCCTGCCCACCGCCTCGCTTCCGCTTTGCATAATCCTTTCCACCAGTTTCCGCTTGAAAAAGTTGCGCCCTAAGCTTTTCAATTGCCTTCTTAACATGTTGGACATCATTGGTAAGTTTCCTCTCAGCTCCATGGTCTCTAAACAATTTCACTTTGCAATAGCAAATTTCGAAGACGGGGTCGTCGGGTGGGGGAGATTCGGCCGTAGACGCAACGCTTGTTTTGGCGCACAGTCGCACGGGGATACCTTTAACACCTTTTGAGTGGCTAAAGTCAGTAGAGAGAAAGTTAAAGCGGACCGAAATGGCACATTCAGCTGGACCATTCGCACCGGGTGTCCACGTGACACAGAATCCGTCGAACGAAGAGCTTTCGAGCTCAATCCTTGTCCGCTGGTCATCACCTTCAACCGGTGGCTGGCCTGACTCAACGTACTCAACAGCTTGCAGCTTGCCATTGCGCTGGTGTGCCTCGTTCATACCTCGGCCATCTTTCCATAAAGTCCAGCAAGCTTCGGGTTTCTGTCGTTGTTGTTCGTCTTCGAATGATATACGTATGAAGGTGCGATATTTTGTTCCGGGTACAGCAGGCAGCGGCGAGATGGTATCTTTGACGGTAAACTGGTACACTTGTCCTTTATTGAGATACGTCACAGGAATCTCATCTGCGTTTTTAATCATAGCAGTAGCGGCATGTAGGGTACAAAGGAAACGGAACTTGGTTGCGTTCGGGGGCAATAAAATTGACATGCCTGGCATGCCTGGCATGCCCATCTGATACCGCCCGGACTGAAGGTTTAGCATGGACGGCGACTGTGGATGGAAAGCAGCATCCATAGACCCTATACGCTCTACCCGACCTTCTGTGCCCAGGGTGGAGGCATCGTGGTCCATCGTCTCGTACCCAGTATCATGTTGAGTGAAGGACGAGGGCGCAAACGTGGGCTGCTGTGAAACTGGTTGTATAAACGGGTTAAAAGGCCCATGGTGAAATTGCTGTGGTGCGATAGAAGGTTGGTGGAAGTGGGGGATCTCCAGCATTCCGCTCGGGCCAGCATGTATGGTGCCATCGTTCGTGGGAAGAGACAGCGGGGTGCTGAGGCCCATTCCCATCGGCGTGTGCAAGTCGCCAGCCTGATGGTGATAGAGGGTGTTCGTACCACCGGGCGTAGGTGTGTAGTAGCCCGGCGGCTGGTTCGCAAAAGCGTCGAAAGTGAAAGAGTTGGGGTTGAATAGACTAGGCGTGTATCTCCACTCAGGGCCAGAGGCCCGCGGCGTCGGGTCCTGATCCCGAAAAGCCTCTGGGCCGACATGATGTCTGTCAATACCAGATCTTTAGTTAGCACTTGATTATCAATTCTAGAGGCTCTGGTTCGTCTTATGGATGGTTTATCGCAAAGCACACTAGAGATGCGCCGCGCTCTTATAAGTGGCGCTATGCAACATGGAGTGGGCTGTCGGAGTTACCCCGCGCACAATCAAGCGCAGAGGAGACTACGGTATGTCTGGATAGCTAGCATGTCGCAAGCCGCCTCTTCCCCCATCTACCTCAGTGCGATCACCATCGGAACAGGCAAAAGAATGGAAATGCAGGAAAAGTGATGCAGTCTTCCACACAAAGTGCAGGGGAAGGAATAACAGAAACTCGGCAGACGGGTTCGGAGTAGATAGGATACACGTACCGTTCTGCTGTTGGTAATTGTCCAGTGGCATGATTATCTAGTGCTAATGGCGGGTGAGACGCAGCTGCCGACGATGCTGTTCCTGGTGCGCCGATGTTTGGGAACTGTTGCCGAAAGTTGGCCAAAAGGGCATCGTCGGGCTTCTGTGAACTGGTTCTATGGGAAAGTCAGCAAAGGCAAGATGGTGGGAACATTCCTTTGCCTCGTTGAGTGAGAAAAAGTTAAAGAGTCGTAGGTTTTGCTCACCTTTGGCGAAACATTTAGTCAACGAGCCCCTACGGCCGCCGCAAAAAGGCAGTGACAACTATAATAAGGGAACAGGCAGAATTAAACCCGCGAAGATATTACCAAAAAGGGAAATTAAATAAGATGCGATCCTGTTCAGGCAGATGAGCCCGACTTGGATGTGTCTATTCTGCCGCGCCGGAGCTTGTGGGTAAGAGGATACAAAGTGGGCGCAGATGTGGCTGTTTCGGAAAGTGAGCCTCGGCGTGTCGGATTGTATGCGCTTCCTCTTGCCTTATCGTGCCTGGTGCGGCGTGCTCGCTGGGGACGAATAAGATTGGGCCGAGATGATACAGGTCCACTGATGGTCTAATTACTTGAGTGTGGGAAGAATCTGTTTTTGTGGTAGATCTGGGGATGTAATATTATGCGCCAGGCGGAGCTCGGTGAGAGTAGGGACGAAGCGAATAAAATGGTTGGCTATTAGTCTGGCAGAGAAGCAGAGCTGTGTAGTAGACGGCCACAAACCCGGGACCGGTCCAACACTCATAGGCTGGAGAGGGTTTGGAGGGGGGAGGGAAGGGGGTTGATGATGACAGTCAGAGCGACTGACGCCAGAGTGGTGAGGGGTGCCTTTGTATATGTATGTGTATGTGCATGCGCCGATTAATACATGTCAGACAGAACCGCATGAGACCGCAGTGCTACACGACAACGACAAGTATGACCAGGTCGACCACAACGGCAACCACGTATTAGCAATAGAAGTAGTTCCGACAGCAACACGGTAGAGAAGGGGGGGGCGGTTTCAAAGTATGAACAGCGAAAGCCGTAATAAGGAAGTCGTAATAAGGTATGGTAATGAATATAAAGAAAGACGGGGGAAGGAGAGCAAAACGGGCGGGAGGGGACAATACAATAAATAGCGACCGACGAAAGTATATCGTGATAGAGAAAGCACGGGGGATGACTATTATGTGTGCTTAAAGTCGAGCCGGACTCATGCGGCAAGAAATGCTGATAAAAACCACAAGTAAGAGATGTACCAGGGCAACGAAAGGTTTAAGTAAGTTGAGTTATGCAGCCGCAGACTACTTTGCGGGCGCGAGAGACCAGAGAGAGCGAGCGAGGGAGAAGAAATAAACCGGCAAGGGCTAAACCAGTAGCGTAGTGGTCTCCGGCCGTTGGGATTTATTATAGCAGTAGCCGTCGTGAGCTAGCATGCGCGAGAGAGGGCAAAATGCAAAATGCAAAATGAGCGAGGGTGGACAAGGGGTACGGTGGATACATAGGTACAGCATCGAAGGTTGATGGGCTATGAGCCATGGGCCATGGGCGGGCTGCGGGCTGTGGGCTGCGATGCTAAGGGCGACTTGGTATGGGGTCGAGGTCGAGGTACATTCCCGGCTTTCCACCATCCATCGTGCATGCCCATGGCATCGTAGTACGTCGCTCCCGGCCAGCCAACCCTTGTCATGGCTCACGGCCCCTGGCTCACGGGGGAGGCGAGGCGATATGGTATGGGCTGTAGGCAGATGTACTATGTAGGTTGGGACCTACTTACACAGTACCTAGGCAGGCAGGCAGTAGCATACATAGGTAGGTAGGTTGGTGGGGAGGGAGGGAGGGAGGGAGGGAGGTAGGGTGTGGTGGTGTATCATGTATCGTCGTCGTCGTCGTTGTTGTCTGTGGTTGTCTGTGGTTGTTGTTGTGAAGTGGGATTCGAATTGGAAGTATCTGCTGGGATGGTGTTCGACAGATGCATATTGTAGCCAAGGACATTACTTCGTAGTCTAGCAGTACCTAGATCGGGCATCTCAAGACCTTCTGGAGTTTAGCATGCAAGGTCAATACTTGTTGGGGTTAGTACTGCTGTAAGCGTAGAATGCCTACATAGGTAGCACTACCTTGACAGCCCGTGTACTAGGTAGATTGAATGGCCTGAATGACTTGGATGAGGGCCTGGGAGTCTGGGACATGGTATGGGATACAGTAGACAGACAGCGCGAGAACGCTTAGAGCAATTGGATCTCCGTGATCGCCGCAGGGAGGGAGCGGTGGACGAGGATTAAAACAAGAGCAAAAGATGCAGGCAACTGGCTGGCTGGCTGGGTAGTTGGCTGGCTTGGGTGCAGTGGACGTATGGATAAGGTATGTACTGTAGGTATGATCATGGTGGTGGTGATGATGAGGAGGAGGGGACGGAGGCGGAGGCGGAGGAGGAGGTCGAGTCCTACCTACCGAGTCCCTAACCTACCTAGGTACCTACAGCAGCCACAGCGGCAGCAGCAGCAACAGCGAGAGAGCACTGATAGCACCTACCTAACCTACTATGTACTCCATCCTACTCCATACCTACATACAAACCTACATACATACTTACACCTGCAAAATACAGCATACAGCACACATATACACACACATACACACATACACACATACATACATCCATATAAACATATATGTGCCTATATCCATCCCATACCTACATACATGACCTGAACCAACCTGGCTGGCGCCCTGCCTCCTCGATGACACACGCCTTGCTATCCCCGGGACCTACCTACCTGTTCCTGGCAACCTGCTGCTGGCAGTCCTGCTATTCCTGCTCTTCCCGTCCCCGAGTTGCTGGAGGCAGAAGATCTGCCACTACTACCACCACCACAACAACCGACACTGGTGCAGGGAGCTTCAGGTGGCCGACATGTCTTGTCCTGTCCTGTCTTGTCTGTGGGAAAGGAAAGGCCCGTTGAAGCGTTGTTGTACCGCAAGCAAGCAACGACATCCTTGTATTACCAGTTTTTTTTTTTTAGTTTTTTTTTTAATGTAGACGCAACTAGGTACACTTACACCAACCCCATACAGGTATAGCCCTGAAGTTAAAACAACGCAGACAACGAGTTACCATTTATCTGGTAGATGTACCTAGGCTAGGTACTCACATTGAGCTTCAAGTATACAATTGTAACTTACTTACCTAGGTAGATACGTAGATTGTCTTGTCTTTGTCTTGTCTTTGTCTTGTCTTAGGTAGGTAGGCAAGGTAAGGTATAACGTTCCTTCAGTCTGCCATCTAATGTCCATCACCGCTGCGCTTTGGGTATTTGTCGGGATTGCTACATGCCATTCATTTACTGACCGACGCAGGGCTACCCGGACACGCTACTTACTACCTTGCCCATCACCCACAGTCCGTACGTACTACATATGTATGTAGGTACTTTACATAGTAGAGGAGGCAGGCAGTGTGGGTAGGTACATATGTAGATACCTCTGTGTTGCAGGGCATTTGGTGTAGTGCTAGGTACCTGTGGCTAGGTAAGTCCCCAAGTGAGTGAGTACCTGTAGACAGGTATCTAGATACTTAAGTAGGTAGGTAGGTAGGTAGGGAGGTAGGTATCGATATACTGGACTGTAGTGGGCGGTACATGCCTGTAGGTAGGTACCTACGCTCGCTATTCGCCTAAGTGAGCCCGCACTGGGTTGTACTAGAGATCGGGGAGTAGGGGGGGTTCCTCTAGCAGGGAGAGGGGGTGTCTCTCGACAGTTACCAGTGGCGTACGCAAGCACATACATGTACATATGCGGGATGTCTTGGCGAGTAGTCCCGGGCCAAAAGCACGCGGGAAGATACCTGCCCGGCGCCGAGTCCACAGGCCCAGCAGGTACCTCGAGGTGCAGCATAAGTGCGCAGTGCAGTGGTGCAGTGCAGTGGTGTGAGTAGGTAGCGCAAGGTCGCTGCACCGCCCCACCGGCCCAGTGGACGGCCCCTGTCCGCTCCGGGTCCCACACCTTGGGTACCGAGGTACCTCACCTAGGCCTGTGGCGTTCAAGGAAGAGCAGAAGAAAAAAAAAGGTAAAATAAAATAAAAGAAACATAAGATAAAAAGTCAAAGCTATGTATGTATATGTATATGTATATGTGTGTATCTTATCTCTATCTACTGTTTGTCTGTTTGTCTATCTGTATGTCTATTTGTTATACTCCCTCTCTTCTTCAAGATTTATCTACTGTAAGTGTGATAGAATGGATCATATATAGCTGTCCGCATCTTTTTTAGTGTCTGTCCGTCTAACGGCGGCCTGTTTAACGGCCTGTCTAACCGACCAGGTATCTGTCCAAGGTCTGTCTGTCTGTCTCTCTCTCTTTACAGCGCTGCATCTTTCCATGATGGTATGGTCGTGTGCCAAGGCACATACTCCATACTTGCTTCTACTATGTAGGCATTTCTTATATGGAAGGTATTATGCTGAATGTTGGTGGTTGGTGGTGGATCGACGTCTGTGTTCGCGAGTGCATCATTGCTCAATAACTTTGTATCTTCCGTGATGATTTTGTTTTATCGTGCAATTATCCTTTGTCCTTTTTTTTTTTTTTTTTTTTTTTTTATATTTCCCACAATTTCAACCCTTCTTTCATATTTACCCAATTTTCATTACTATAACCTCACATATCACGCTAATTACCTTTCTTCCTCTGCCGGACTATCGGACTTCCGATTACCTAATTCAGGTGCACATTCATCCGAACACTTGATCTCTCTCCAACTCACGGTTGAAATGTCATATGCAACTGCCCGGCAGGTTTACGTTTCATCGCCCTCTGCCTGCACGATATTGGGTTGATAGTCCTCTCGCAGCACAGGCGCGCGTGCGTGACTGCTGAGCGCCGACTCACGGGATCACGATAGCTCTATGCCAAACTAACTCGGCCACTTGCGAAGCGTTGTTCAGGGGCTGTATGCATCATCCGTGGACTGGCAACCTTGTTTCTCGCACCTTGCCCCTCTCAAGCTTTGGCGCAGCCGTGAGGTGTGTTTGAGATTTCAACTTAAGGTTAGCCTCCAACTCTCCAATTTTGCCAGAATTAATTACCAGCACGTGCTTGGGTCCCCGTATCAGTGTAGATCCTCTTCTATTTCTCCAATAATGGCCTCCTCTATACATCCTCCGCTTGCCTTCTTCTTGCCTGTATATCGCTAGGAATGCCTCGTGCAGTGCAGAAGAGCCACCTAAAACATGTTGTGTTACATGGAGCTGAATTTACTCCGGCATGTTGAATCGTCCGTGTTGTATATGCAGACAAAAGTACGCGATACGACACTTTGTCGTCGCCATCAGATCTGTCGATCGAGTGCCTAAAATATGAATCGGGTCTGATCTACGTAGATGTCCTAACACCCCCCTCTTTTTGTGTACTATTGCATGGTAACGAGTTGCCTAGTAAATGGGCAAATATGGTACAAGTGAACTTATTCTGCTTTATCAGCCCCCCGATCCTTCTCAACCGCGGTTTCTAGCCACCCGCCTCATCAAAGAGCCTACGCCAAGCTGAGGTATACTTGCGCATTATGAGCAATAGAAACGCACAGCACACCACCGTATGGCAGGCCGTGGGAATAGGAATGAAGGGACACACAACTTCTTTCATTCCAGGTCGCCGTCCTCTTTCTCTAGGCGTGCCGGGTTAAGAACCCGGTGGCCCGAATGGTCATGACGGTGACAGGGCAACTCAAGTATTCGTATATCTCTATCTCTGGATAAAATAGCAACTATAAGCTTCCTGGATGATCAATGCGGACATATCACGACGGCGCTATCTTATGCCACCTGCACACGCTAGAAACGTAAATGCTGGGATTTCGATGGCCGCCTAGTCATGTGGTCCGCTATCGGTCTGTTTATGCGTGAGCGATCGTTGTGTGTGACCTTTGTGAGGCTCTTCACGAGAGACTTTGGTCGATTTGATTTTTATGAATTTTGCAAGAGACGCCACCTACCTGAGAAAAGGAGGTGCAACCCATGAATGTAAAAAAGCCTCGTATCAGGTTAGTCTAGCGTCGTTCTCGCGCATATAGAGAGAATCATGTGCCTTATTGAATGACCTTCGAATGCTGTCACGAAACATGTTTAGGGACTTCCAAGAGAATAGTCGAAATACCATGGCTCTGCCGGAAATCTAAGTGTTGTAGGTTTCGAATAGAGCATTAGAATTTTCGTTTGTGTTCGCCCTACTAGAAGCCCGTGTTTACGAAATTTCGTCCAGTATACATTGCCACAATAAGTGTAATTGTCAGAGAAATACGTTGGATAGGATGACTCCTTCGTTGTATATGCCACATTCGGCCAAATAGAATTATCTTGGCTTTTTTTAGGTTCCCTTGTAGTGTATTACTAGAAATTGAAGATATACGGGCTATATTAGCTTTTTCAAGTTGCTTCAATTTTGGGGGGTTTCGGGTTCTTTGACGAACTATCGGCTTGATAACCCCCGGCAGCGTGCACAGCCCGTGCAGAGCCAACCCTGTGTTTGACCACATTTCCTCATAGAGTCGGCAGCAAGTTCGCAAGGTTAGAACGTGTAATTAATACTGAGCTGTGGGGAGGTTCACGGATGAATTATTGACTTGACTGGAGTTGCTCTGACTCCAAGAACATCTCGTGCTAGAGCGCCTCCAGTTCCGTGCCAGGATCTCCACTGCGGGTGTCAAGGTATGGGATTGTCATGAGCATGTGCGGTGGCGCTAGAATCGCATATTTCTCCAATGTGGATGCTTCTTTAGCAATATCTAAACCAATTGCTTTACTCTACCTAGTGTAGTTACGCTTAGGTACAGTAGAGAGATCGGTTTCAAAATGCCCTGGCAACCCCTTCCCGTAACCGAATTGCGGAAGGATCGTCGTGATGTTTCGTAGATAAGTGAGTAGATGCTTGAGCGAACGCAAGTTCGACACACAAAAAAGAAAGCAAGCAAATCTGAGCGCCTGTCAGCTGATAGATACTATTGTTGCAGCATGGATTTCGGGGGGTCAAAATGGGGTCATCGCCGCTAGCTTGAGCGCCGTCGGATGAAGTAGCTAACCGTTCTCTTCATAGCGCACCTCATTCTCGCAGCAGCGAGACAAATCTGCAGATGATGTGCGCTACCTGCAACCTAGGACGATTGGACGAATTGTCGTGCGGCCACCTACACCGCTCCAGTGGTGAGAGCTGGGTGACATGAAGGTTGACAAATCAGCTGTAACCGGCAACTTGTCACGAACGCAACGCAAGGAGGCAGGAGGAGATTCTGACAGAACACCTTTAGCGACCCGAAGCATAGGAGATCTCTATTGGCAAAGTCAAGACGAACTACAGACTGACTTACATGTCTACAGTAAGAAGGCCGCATTGTCACTTACTAAGCAGGCCCTAGCCGCACTTTAGCTGGTGATACAGCCGTTTCTGGTAATACGCCTAGATGAATCCTAGTCGACTCCAGATACCTCACCACTCCTATAACTTGAATAGGCAATCTATATCCCCAATGAAAACGATATACCGTTAAGGTAACGATATCAAATCCGACACTGTATAATCATATTCGAATACGCGCATTCACAGATACTCATTCTCTTAACTCATATGCAGATAGATACCTATTGGAGCTCTTTTCTTTCTTTCCTCTACCCCCTTGCGCTTCAATATTGTTGTACCTACTGTACATATATGTACAGTCAATACCCTGCCCTGCAACCCTGTATACATGGTCTAATAATAGTGAACTTGGGTAGTATACACTGGGTAGTACGTCCCTTCGGAATTTGCCTCCCGATACACACACCCTATATTCATTCACCCTCCTTTAATAGAGATTTATTTTCGGTATACTACGCGATAGGACACATTTACTGTTGTGGGCAGCCAAGGGCATCCACTCTGTGAGCTTTTTCCTGCCCCTTCTTCTGCCAGTATCTAGATAGTGCAGAATACTGCTGTACGACCTGTTCGCTACCGTTCGCTACAATGTAGGCTTGGTATATAGCCCATTTTTGCGCTGTATGCATCGTAGGTGCGGTGCATGTTGTTCTCGTTGTCCTTGTTACCTGTAGCTGGCTGTCTTACCCTACCCTCCCTACCTACTTACCATCTCGCCAAACACATCGATGTCTGCCTACATCTAGATATACCTATCTACTTACCTACCTACCTAGGCTAGAGAACTCAGGACTACCCGGTTCCCAGTCTGCATTAATATCAATCCCATTTTGGTTACATTGCTTCAACACCAGTCATCCGCTCAGCAATTGGTGCGGCTATACACGATGCTCAGGGAGGCAGCGCTCGCTTCCAACCAGTCAGGACGCGTGCTTCCAGCAGTCCAAATATACCGGCAGTCTTATTGACATGGCGGGATCACGCACGCGCACAGAGATAAACAAAGACACCCAGAGTCGTCGCTGGTTGACGTCATGGAATCCCGAGGATATTTCTAATCTGGACCCCTGCCTCCCGGCGACCCCATCACTTGCCTAGTTTGGCGCCTTTGGGGCATCCGTATCTGTCTCCTCAGGACCTCATTTACTTCAACTCCAACATCGCTTGTTATCGGGCATCACCAGTTGAGTTATTGACAAGGCGACTGCCTTCCTTCTCGAAGATGACCTTCGGCTCCAGGGTCTATGACCAGAATCGTGTTGTTATGGATAGCAACTCAAGACGAGACAGCTTGGATATACTTAACCCGCTGTTGATATCAAGTTGGGAGCAGTCTCTTATCTGATGCTTCCGGCCAAACCAGGGTCTTGGTTGTAAAGGGGGTTGCGCGATTATGACGCCGAGAAGTTGGCTTCGCTTCACTCGGAAGCTGCCGAGCCATCCTGGTTCTTCCCAGCAACGCTACTACGCGCAGCCGCAGACTCAACTTGGCGCTGGCTACACGTTTTGTACCAGCATACTTGCCATCGATATGGCCGACTCGGGGGCATCGCACGTGCGTCAGCACAGGTCAACCAATTCAGGTCAGCACAGGTCAGCAGCGGCTTCTCTCGTCTGCGGTATCATCTGCTGTATCATCTCTGAATTCTCAAGAGACGACATGATGTTTTGATGGGGACTGGCGGCGGAGACGACGCAGGCGACAGGATGCAGCAAGTCCAGGGATCCAGGCCGTTACGCTATCGGGAAGCCCAGTCGTGTCAAACAGACATCTCATGACAGACTCGAGTAAAGAGAACCCCACAGCCTTCTTCTCATGACTGCGTCTAAATCGTCTCCATCGCAGCCGACAACGCCTGCGGTTCATGGCGGATCCTGCACGATGCGACGTCACGGGAAGTGTCTTCTGTACAGCATTCCGGATTGCCCCCCGGCCTCTGTCAAGCGGCATGCCCCCTGACATTACACCGCGTGCGGTATGTTGGGGGCTAAATACTGCAATGATTTACTCGAGTGTCTTACACCACCACCACCACCACCATCACCACCTCCTCCTCCTTTACCACCATCACCAACAACAACAAACATTAGCCTCTGTGGGCAGATGTCTACGTGTCAAGTGAGCACGGTCACTTTAGTCTCTCGTCGAGGCAGCGCCGGCTGGCCAATAACACGGTATAGCGGGCTTAATCTGAAACATGACGTTCCCGTCAACGTGCATCGGTGCCCGCACTTCCGTCTGTGTTATTCGACGCACTCAAAACATTCCATATATCGTTGCGGGCCGAACCTGAGCCCTACTGCGTAGGAACAGATACTGAGCAAGTCACTCGCCTGTGCCTCTCGAGCGCATGCACGCTTTTCCCTCATAGTCGGCATGCCAAGCTTTATGTCTAAGATGATCTTGGTCGCATCTCGCGTAGCTGAC